GTATTAATGAGAAGTAAAACTGCTGACTAACGCTGTAGGTACTGCTGGAGGTGTGAGGATTCTTGCAGAACGAATGCCACAGCACCTCTCCTTGAACAAAGGTATTTGGAGGCTAAACAGAGACTTGGCTTAAATTGGGAACAATTTCTACTATGAACGCGCTTCTTATAAGGAAAATGAAATCAGAAAATACTGTGCTGGGTAAAAAAGAGGAAACTGCAGTATGACTTCAGAGAGAAAAAACCTTCGATAATGTTAGTGAGTTAAGTGATTATCCTCTCTGTGGAAGTAGCTTGCATCCTGCTGGCCAAAAAAGTGAAATGATGTCGTGTTTCGATGTTGGTTTGCGTACGTGTTATATTTCTTAAAGTGGAAATAATTTGCCTGTCACTAATAGCAATGTGCAGTACTTCGTGTGTGACTTGAGCTTTCCTGATGGCACCCACCACTGTACCTCTGCTGTTGGCAGCCTGGTACAGCATTACTTACTCTTGAGAATAACCTGTTGCATGAACAAAGGCTTTGGGATTGATAGAATTTTTTGCTCACTAGTATGAAGTAATCTACCATTTATTTCAGAAGTTTATTTTTTGAAGTGTAGAGCTCTGAAACCTTATGCCAATCGGAGTCGTTCTATTGAATTCCATAGGTTTTATGTCAAACTTGTAAATTAGTTTTAGCTATTGCACACTGGAAGAGAAGTGGGGCATGATATGTGAGTATGTATGTGACTAGAACATGCTCATTTATTACCAAACTCTTTTTTGTGGAGTAATTTATCAAGTTGAAAGTGTGCCTTATAATATCAAACCAATGAACCTACTAGAAACTCATCTTGTAGGGCTTTTGGGAGAAGTTTACGCTTGCATATCCTTAACTTTACTGACAAAACCAGTTTGGTTTGAATGTTTTGGTGTAATGTGGATCAACCTTCCAGCCAAACTATTGGTATGTTAATGAGAAGGTTGATGTCTCTCTCTCCATAAACAAACTTGCCCAGTTTCAAGCAGTTATATGGATGTTCCAGCACTCTGACTAGTGCAAAGTTCAGTGGATGACCAAAGTGGCAAACAGACTGGTTTGCTTCCATCCCTGTCTATCTATTCTGGATAGGCAGTGGCACCACACGGTATGGTGGGAAGTGTAGGAAGGATTCAGCTGGACAACAACTCTTTTTACAGGCCTATGAATACACCACAGCCACAGGTGATACCCAGCACTTTCTTTGAAGTCACTGCTTTCAAGTTTTTTACATTTTCCTTTTCCCCTTTGGTTGCATATCCTGCTACACAGATGACTTTGTTTTTCAGTAAGGACTTGATGCTCATTCAGTCTTCCTTTGATGGAAGCAGTGACACTTTCACTGCAAGAATCAGAGAAGGGAATATAGCTATATTGTCTTTAAACCATCACAGGTGTGCCATGTACCTTTTAGAGCAAGATCCGTGTTAGTCCGTGATGGAGGTGCGGGGTGTGTGTTAATAAGGTGGGCGGGAATTGGTGGTGACTCCACAGCTTCTGCCAGTGAGTCAGTTGCTCGTTTCCCCAGCTCACGTGCCGTACCAGTACCACCGCTACTCCGGAGCGGAGCGCTGGGATAGCCCGTTCAGTAACTCTCCCTTCAGACCTGTGGCTAGTGCCCTTATCTTCCGAGCATTTAACCAGTACGAAGCGGAGGTTAGCAGCCATGCTGGCTGGCTGATTCATTTGAGATGTGTGGCCATAGCTCTTGTTTTGAGTGTCTGTTGGAACTTCACTGCCGTTTGACCAAGACCTCCAGCAGTGACAGGCTAACAATAAATCACTGCGCCGTTATTGACGGTGTCATGACAAACACCCTGCAAGCCAGTGCTTGTGTGCATCCCAACTCTACTAGTGTTACATCTGGGATGGATCTGACCTACTCATTATTTTCTGTTTTGTTTATTTCATTACATGTTTTTAAAAATAATATGTTTTCTGAGTAGTGAATAGGAGTTTGTTTCGAATAGAAATTCAGAATGGAAATAGAAAATAGACAATAGAAAAGCTTATTTATTTTTTATGGTCCTTGGGTCAAGAGGCAAGACATTTGCCTTTACCTCTGAGAGCTCGTCAGGAGCTTGCACAGCTGTTAGTGTTGTCTGCCTGAAATATCTGGACAGATTTTTATTTTATTTTATTTTTTCAGTGCCAAATTGGAGAGTCCTCACATTAAAGCCTTGTCTGAGTCCTTGCTTGGAGAGAGTACCTTTAACTTGAGGACAGGACCTCGTGTAACATAGTCCTTTGCACAGCTTTCTGAGTTACAGTGTTATGATTTTATAATAGTAAAATATGTTTTAGAAATATTACAGTGATTAAATTGTCAAACTCTTTGAACTCTGGCAGTTATAATACGGAGTTGGAATATTACAATAACTCTTGGTAAATGCTGCTTGTTTAAGAACTTCAGCCTCGTAGAGTATATTATATGTGTTAATCAAAGAGTGTCCTGTCTGTTCTGTTCTATTAATGCGATCTCTTTTTTTAATTTTTTTAATTTTATTAGGAAGTTAACAATGGAGAATTGCTGCAAGTTGTGGAGGGATTAAAACTGAATTGGTTAACAATTAGGGAAGAGCGCAGCAGTTAGTATAGCATGGGGTTAAAATTTTGTACTACCATTCCCACACAAAGTGCATAGATTTTGACAGGAGTCAAGGACAGTGAGGCATTCCAAATTATAGGGTATTTAATGAGGTATAATAAAGCTTTGTGTTCACAAGAAAATGACTCTAGCAATGAAAATTCATTGGCTTCGGAGGTAGTAAGTCATGTCTTAATTAGAAAACTGAAGCACAGCTTATCTTAGGTCTTATTGTCATATACACAGATATATAGTTACTGAGAGAGCATTGAGAATTATCTTCAGGTCATGATCTTGATATGAATCTTGTCTGCATGTGCTTCTTGAATACTTAAAAGGGTGGACTCTGCTAAGAGAATCAGCCAGGACTGAAACACTGAGCTTCGAGTTTTGCTTGATGCAGAAAGAACATCTCAATATACCACATCCATACTTGGGAAGAGATTAAAACCAACTGGTACAGTGCTTGTGGCACGAGCGCTTTTACCACAACCTTACACTTGAACCTGGAGAAGAGTCCACTGTGTAACCACAGTGTTCCTGTTTGCCTGAAGCTAACTGTGGCATGTACCGTGGAATTTGGAGAAGTGCTTTCATAGGATGCTCAGTGGTAACTGAACTCTTAAGCCACACCAGCAGATTTAGCCAGACCCTCATTGCTGTGAAACCGCACAGAGGCCGACAGCGGTTACAGTCCCGGGAAGTATCACACGTTCCTTTGGAGAACACGAAAGGAAAGACAGCATGGGAGTCCGTGGTGGTTGGGGGAAGGGGTCTGATTCATTTGGTCTAAGTAATAGAAACTGAGGATGAATTTCACTCCGGTGTGTTGTTCCGTTGCTGTTAGTGGCAAAAGTTTTTGTGTGCCTCTATCTAAAAGAGCTGGTGCTGGTCCCTCTTGGGAGGAGGGGAAAAAAACCCAAAAGGATAAGATACTGATTGCGTTGGTCTGATCCTGTGTGGCAATTTCTAAATTCTGCAAGGTGGTTCTTTTGGTCATTGTTCCTTTTTATGTGGATGAAATTTTTTCCATGCACATGTTATCCAGCTGTGGCTTGTAATGTTCCCCAAGGATTTAATTAATATGGTCTTCACCGTTAGTACAAACTTGAAGTACTGTGAAGAGTTTTAGTAATGTTCTTTGGTTCCTTTATATACATCATTTAAGAATTTTCTATAATCTTTGGGGCATTCACAATCAAGAAATCTAAAAGCATATTTAAGTAAATGAGGAGAAAAATCCACCCTTCTTCCTTTCCCCTCCTTGTGCTATTTCTTCCTTTGAAGTCTGATCACTTGTGATGGGATTTTCAGACAGTATCATAACAGAAAGATGCCAAACAAAATGAGAAAAGGGAAGGATTAGCCTGGAATAGGCCTTGGACAGTGGGACTGAAAGACAGGGAGATACATAGTGATAACAGTAATCTGATAACAGTAATCTGGAGATTAATTATACAGGTAGAATGTGTGTGTGGGGAAGGATATCTACAAAAGTCTTCTTTTAAAAAATAAATGCAGTACTGATACTATTCTGTGCACATTTAGTGTTTTTGTAAATATTTTTGTTCTTTTTTAGTACTTTCAGTTCTGCAAGATGCACGAAAAAGTGTCAGGATCGTGATTTGAGATCTGTCCATGAGCATTTGGTACGCAGCATGAGAATGTGTGCAAATTTATTGATTGTGAATGGGAAAGCTGCTGTCTTGAGCTAGGCTGTCTTAAAAGATGAACGGTTACGTGAAGGCTGTGAATAACAAATAGTTCAACTTTTCAGTTTGGGCATATTTGCATTATTTCAGTACATTCTTGGGGAGAGGAAAGAACCAACGGTTTTGGACCCATATATTTCAGCAAGTACATGTTTCTTCAACCCTTTATTTTTATTTGCATGATTCGTGTGAACTTTGCATCAAATTATTACAGATGTTTTGTCAGATTACAGAGGGGAAAAGTGGTGATAAGGTTTGTAATGCTGATTTGTAAAAGGCCATACAATAATTTAAGTGGTTATTTAGACTAATTAAACACAGTAGCGTTCAAGCCCTGTCAAGAGTAAAAGATACATTACAGCTGAAAAAGCACAGTGAGCCATGTGGTGAGCAGCAATATTGAATGTTTTCGAAAGGTCTCCATTTTGGTACTTCTTCAAGATTACCCAAGTTATTCCAGAGCTTTTATGTCTGCAATATCAAACTTCTCCGATTTGATCAATACTGAGATACCTCCGTCAAATGTTTGACCTCAAAACTCACTAGCTTTCTTTCACTGCATCTCTTTAAGTTCCTGTGAATTGTGAAAGTTTGCCTGGATCGACACTTGCTGTAGGCTTTTGGAGCATGTACTTGTAACTCGGATTCAAAGGAAAAAACAGATATGCTTTTTACAAAGGTTGTGGGGCTGATTCCTCACGATGTAGCTCACATTTATGCAAAGTTCAGACGAGCCTGGAGAAAAGCATTGATAGCTGACCCACATCCCCTCTTGGTTTCTGAGTCTATTTTTGTTTCACAGTGGATGAATCTTAATGATGTTAAAAATCCATCTTACGATTTTTGTGGTCTGAAAACATTACCGATGACATTAAGGTGGGTCTCTAAAACTACCGTTTGATTGTGAGAGAGAAGAACAACATTTCACTGAAGGCAGCTGAATACATCAAGCACAAGCATATGAATGCTATGAGGTAGAACGTGAAAATTGGCTTAGATCCTTCAAAGTATCTGTGTACTTCACTCCTCGTTGGCACCTGACTTGCACTGAAATTGGATGCCCAGACAGAAACATGCTTAAATATCCACACTCCTGCAGTGCTCTGAATGAAGTCACTTCTCTGTTACTGTCATTCATCTTGCTTGCTTGGGTCCGTTTTAGGATTTTTTTTCTGTAACCTGAAGTTAAATTCTGAATTTTATTTTTTTTGCGATATCATTAAGTCCATAAAGGAAAATGAAAGCTAAGCATTCCAACAATGTTTTTTTTCCTAACTAGCTCTCCAGCCACCAAGACCAAAGGCTCTGCAGTCTTAACTAAACAGCAGAAGATACCAGAATGTGTCTCCTCCAGGTATAGGTGCTAAGAACTTTTTAATCCTTGTTGTTGGAACTTGACACCTGATCTACACTCCAGTCGACAATGCTGAATGCTACATTTTGACCTCTTGCAACCATAGGATGTGCAAATATTTTGTAGAACTAGGAGGACAAAAGCATCCTGAGCATATTAAAGGAAATCCTAACTTCAGCATTAAGGCGCTGGTGTTTGCATATTTTACCTTCTCTATAAAAGTATAAAAGTATTTACCTTTTCTATAAAATGGAAAGATTTCTTAACCTTTTAGAGTGCACTGAAAGGTTGTTTTCAGGCAGATAAAGATGAATTGCTGGATTGCCTGACAGCATGGAAGTCGCTGATCAGACTATCTTGGAAGCTTGGATCCCAGAGTTTTATCCTCTCAAGTCATTTGATCATCCTGGTTTTGTCAAGAATGAGTTGGATAGTGCTAACTCCTTGTATTGATCACACTACTGCAATTACATCCAGTTGTAGAGCCGTGGAATTACTGAGAAGATACTTGGAGAAGTCCAAAAAGAGAAGTAGCACAAAAGGACTTGCTTGACCCTCTTTCATGATAACCCTACGACAATCCAAATTAAACAAAGTGTGTTGTACTTAAATGACAAGTCAACGCTTATCAACTGCCCCTTGGAAAGGTGCCCTTCAGGCGCTGAAGCTCAGTCAGTTTCCTGGGCAACATATTCTGTTCCATCTCTCTTGCTTGATGGTGTTTTTATTTTGTTTATTTTTTTAACTAACAAAATCGACAGGGTTGATTCTGATACCAGTTTGGAAAATGGATAGTTGAGGGATTATTGAAGAATGTTTGAATAAGGAATTAGTTCTGTTTGCTTTGAGAGCAAAATATCTTGTTGAATTTATCAATATGAAAAGATCGATGCTTTAAATGTAGCAAACCTTGGCTCTCTGCTCTGTGTTGGGTAGAGGTGCACTTAGCAGATGTATTTTTCCAGTTATTTAATGTTAGCTATCAATCCTACGTGTCACTTAA